TTTTCTCTCTCTCTCTCTCTCTCTCTCTCTCTCTCTCTCTCTCTCTCTCTGTCTCTCCGTCTCTCTCTCCGTCTCTTTCTCCTGTGCGATTAGATTTTCACGTTAACCTTTGATATTCAGCCCCGCTTAATGAAGTTATCCCAGCGGAACCACTGTCGGTGGGTGTGTTTGTCATTGAGCTGTGCGCGACAAACTTTTCGACCAGGTTTCATCGGGGCCGTGGGACTCTAACGATGAAAAGTTTGCGTAGGATACATTTAAAGACTGTACATAGCTCGTAACTATATGTACCTTTGATCTCCCGGTTCAGTTTCCGCGTTGACCGACAGAAAAGGGCTTACAGTAGCACATACGGGTGTAATTTTCTAGATGTCGCATAACAGCCTTCACGTTGATATCTCGGATCCAGCGAAATATTTCATCGGCTGAAAAACTACAAATATCAGAGAAATCATTTAATCACTTTGAGCAAAATAAATTGGAGACTGAATCTCGTAATTATATTATGTTGCAATTATAACGAATTTCTTATATTTGAAGGAATGTTTTTTGGTAAATTGGCTGCACTGAATGTGACTTCAAAAACTATCCATCATGTTAGTTTGGATAGAGAAAATAAAGGTTTAAGAAAATGCACCTCAGAAAATGCACCTCTCAAAATTTGCTCATTTTCGTGAATTCATAACGCATGAAGCAGACGTGCCAGCAATTTTGAAAAGGTCTACAATTGAAGCTTGAACCTTTGTCTTTATTTGAAGAAGTCGGAAACTTAAAGTGCTACTTCGTCCTGGTTCTCCAATTTTCAAATTTAAATAACAGTTAAATTCAAAATCAGCACCTACGAAAATCCCTTTAATAAAATCTACTGTATCTGTATCTGTAACAAAAATGTAATTAGATTTTCATTCTGCAAAAGCATACAGAATTTTACTTAGTTCTAAGTTGTTTTTGCAACTTCAATCCGCTCCAAGGGTGGTGTATGCGACATGAATGAATGGGAGGTTTTTTTCTATAATTTATATTATTTCTTGAGCCTGTCCCTAACAGGAATTCACCCAGAAATTTCTTGAGTGAGATATAATTTTGCTACCTTGCTGAATAAATTTATGACACTGCTTCAGTGAGAGTGACTTTCCAATGAGAATGGCTTTAAGTTGCTGAAGTTGCATTTTAAATTTCCATCTTTTTAAAATAAAGACAAAGGTTCGAGCTTCAATTTCAGACCTTTTCCAGTACCAGTTGCTGATTTATGTGCTACGAATTTATGAAAATGCGTAAAAAACGCGTTTTTTGAGGCTTACTTGAAAACCTGACATGATAGATAATTATTGTGCTTCCACTTGCATTCAGTGCATCCAATTTATTAAAAAACGATCTTTCATGATAAAAGATCTCGTAACATCGATAATATTATCGATCGAACGATATCTTGTAATGAATTGAATGTATCTCTTGATTGGAGAGCGAGCAACCGTAGGTGCGGTGAATGCAATTTCCGATGTACATATCTTTCGTCGCGTTCCATTGGCTCCCCATTGGTGGCCGCGCATCTAATTTGTTAGATGCAATTAATTACGTCTTACGCGTAATTAACGAGGCGCCTAGCGGTATCATAGCGCCGCTCACCGCTGACCACCGTGGCATTCGGCGTGGTAAGCAGCGGTTATAGCCGCGCGTTTGCGTCATCATCCCAGAAATCTCTCCCGGTTGACCCGAAGAACGATAATCTGCTCATTTCCGAGTTAAAGCGCGTCATGCGTCGTCCTCCCGTGGTATAACACGGTCAACGTTACCAGGAGGCCCATCGCCGACTTCGATCGTTACTTCTTCGACGGGGGATCTGCAAACGCGAGAGAGTAGGATTTATTCCTCTTTCCCGGGATAATACTTTACTCGAGTGCCCTTGCTCTTCTCTTCCTCTTCTTCTCCTCTCCGACGTGTGGGCAACAGGACTCCTCTATCTTCGGAGTTTCTTCCGCTTCTTATTCTCTCTCCTTCACCACTTATCGCTCCCTCTGGGCGACGAAGAAGAATTCGGTGACCGTGAGACTTAATCGCATTACCGTCGAGAGCTGCATCTGCCGCGTCTTCGTACGTAATACTTCACACCAAAAAATGGCCTTGCAGTCACATAGCGAAAATTATCTAGGTACGAAGAATTATCTAAGACGGATAAATGTCTAGAATACGCTGCGATGTCGCATATATTTTATATTTAACCAGTATAAATGACAGAAACAGAATTTACATCCGAATTATTTGTGAAATTTAGCAAGAGAGCCTCTCTCTGCACACATTCAGATTAAAGCTAGTCACACTTCTTATAAAAGTGACAGTGGTAGGAAAAAAGACTAGCGACGAGAGATAAATGAATAAATAATATCGTCTCTCTCCCTCCCCCTCTCTCTCTCTCTTTCTCTCTTTCTCGTAAAGACCAAATCCGATCTCGGTGATATTATTGCGTGCCATTCATTTTAGTTTATATCAAGAGTCGCCTCGTCACATTATTACGTGCATTATTTCTCTGATTATTGTCTCTCGTCGTATATATTCAATTCATAATATATTGCCGTAAATTTAAAGAGAGAAAGAGAGAGGGAGTAGATTTTCATATTATGATATTGGCTAAAATCAGAATTCGCGCGCCAATTGTGACAGTTAAGCACAACACGTGTCGGAGTTATACGAATTAATATGCGAATTGCAACAATGCGAATTTAATGAGATTTATATGAAGCATACCCACGCACCATAATAAACCGACTGCAGCTGTTACATGCAAAAAAGGAAGGGATATTCGCTTCCGGCAAGGCAGGATATTTTACGTTCAGATAGCGAGCTGTTGCCGGCTATGAAATTTCTTACTCTCGCGGCGAACAAACGAGCACGACTGGAAATTCTCTGGTTTTTGCCGGCGTATACGTATGTACGCGCTTGAATTGTTCGTGCAATCGGTACCGCGAGCTAAAACCGAAATCGTAAACCAACAACAACAAAAATGATTTCGCCGTATTATCTCGCGCGCTGGGCGCGCAATACAAAACAAACAGAAAATAATACAGAAAAAAATTGGAAAAGAAGAAAAGGGAATAAATGTTGGATTGTCGTGTAACATGTGCATGCCGTGAAAAAATGCGTGTGCTGTGACTAAATCTGCTTCAAACGGCAGCCCAGCTAGAGACGCAACACTGAATTTTTAATTAACTGTGATATTATTCCCGGCAAAGCTTTCGCTCTTCCCCCTCCTATTTCTTTTTTTTCCTCTTTTTTTAATATGACTCGTTCTCCACGATGAACTCCGTTATCCTCCCTACTTTTCGATGTTGCAGTGCTCCCCCGCGGATATAGCGGCACTTTAATCAAGCGATTCTCATAGAATTTTAAAAACTAATTACGATACAGCTTTCGCGAATGTACTCTCATCTCTCACGAAGTGATCGATATTGTC